ATTGTTTGATCGAATATCAGAGTAATAGAGGGCATGACAGGATTGGTCGTAATAGATGAGATTAGATGTCGAGGGTACGATTCAATAAAATGTTAATTCGTGTGGTAGGAATATTGTCTATGGAAGTAGTCAGTTCGTACTTTGTTTACAAATATTAACAGATCTCAGATTAAATCACAAATTTGTTGAGAAATATCGTTTTGATAAACGTGAATACATATTTCATGAATTTCGATGTACAGATGCATTTTCCATCATTCCTTCTAATCATCTCCATCAATACACACTAAACACCCCCTTATATGTTCAGTCCGTCAAGTATGACCCTTACATCAAAATATTGTAGAAGTCAACTATCGAAAGTTTCAAAAAACACAGGGGATATGTAACTGTTTAAAAATAACGTGCTAAACGTCAGTTCACTCTGTAGTACACATATATACACATTTCATTACACGATGTTTGGAGGCTTGAACATAAAGAATTTCCAACTTACTCTAGAGCATTATCCGGTTTTTCTGGCTCTTCATACAAACCTACAAGTACTGTACGGTGGAAATATTTAATTTGAAAATTTTACCCTTTGTAAGTGCATCGATCACTCCAGATTTTTCCAAATACTTCCTGAACTCTTCTCGCTTACAATTTCCAGGCTAAATATCAAATGCATCTATATTTTTGTAATACCTTGTAAGAAGACATATTGTTTTCAAAGCAATGACGCTACAACAACATGGCAACGGTGTAAGTATTCAACGCTTAAAACAATAGATTGACGTGAGGTCTGGAATAGTAAGGTCGTGGATGTTAGGATAGTTAAAAGTAACGTGTGTTAACTAATTTTTGCGAACCTGAGGCTCATGAACGTTGATTTTTGAAGTTTCTTTCCATTCACTTATGCACATAATATAGAGAGATGTTTGAGTGCTTCTTCTCTTCTAGCTGTGTTAGCGAGTTTTAGTCAAGTTCGCTTTTTTCCTAGTGTATTTCCATAGCTTTTATTCACTTTTAATTCGACGTCCTCATAATGCTAAGATAATAAATTCTTATCGATATGTATACTGGAAAATTTAATTTCATTTTCCTTACTAGAACTAGTAGAAAACCATTTAAGATCTTTAAGTTAATTTTCGTATGAGAACGACCCCCAATTACTTAGACACAGATATTTCACAATAAAGTTTGAGAAAGAAACCTCATCTAATTTATTACCATTCACTGAGATAACGATCTAACCTTATAAAGTGAAATCTTCAAAATAAAACGGATAATATAGGCTGGGAGATTTCTAAGAACGTATAAGAGTTAAAAGCTATGTGTTCGCGAATTTTATTTATTGATGACACTGTAGCCTTTCGGATTGTCCGAGTATGTGAAGATGCCATTTGGATTAAAAAAAACCCAGCAGTCTTAAAGATAACTTGCTTTTAGAAATGCTTTTTGCCTATGTATGCATCGATAACTCACTGTCTGTTCCTCATTTTTACATTTGAATAAACAGAATGTCCATTTCGTGTGGTATACGTATCAGTTATTTTGGGATTACGGGAGGCTGTTAAAATTTATACAGCCCTCGGAAGCTAGAATAGTTTTTCGCATAACGTTAATATTTTCAGACGAGTTCGTTGCAGCTTGTGTAAAAATTAGGAAGGTTGGTCTAGTAAAACAACTGCAGAGACTACAATACCGAATTCAGAGGCTTTAAACGAACACCTCTTTGAAAATTCGTGGTCTGTACGTATACCTAAATATCCAAACACTTGTACGCACTTCTTGAAAAATGCTACATGGTCAAAACGCACCCGAGTCCTTAGTTTGAGGGACCGTTAAAGTTAGTCGCACGGAAACCTAAGTTATTTATTGTACTAGCACACTGATGGTCAAATGCATTAGGCGTGTGTAGGCATAAACTACGTCTTCCGGATAATGTACCTTCCAACATGATCGCGATGCAAATGAAGCTAGGATAGATAGGTTACGATCAGAAGCGGGAATGCATTGCAACTGGTTGCAGAAAAAAGTCTATACCGAGCTTCAATTTAACCCTTGAAATTACAACCCGTCTATTCTTGAGTCTCGTTAATTTGAAAAATGTTTTTTGACAAAGTTCATTTAAGGTAGTTTCTAGTCTTTGCGATATAGGGCCAAACGGTTCAAAGGTAGTATTTGCAGTCGTACTATCGTTTAAGTTTTGTCAAGCACAATGGTGGACAACTTGATACACACACAGAGTACACTGAGATTTGATACCAGTGATTTTTGCTGACTAAACGTACGTATATATCTGATTTTCTGATTTTTCAGTGACTGATAATCAGAGAAAATTATATGTTAGAGCAAGTTTTATAAACTGAGTTACCGGCCTGGCATGTTTTCAATATATCGTCTCATTGTCACATTCGCATATTTAGCCGTAGACTGAAATCACTGGGAAGCGGACTAACAGTTAGGTTCTCTCCCTTCGATTAACTGTTTGCTGTGAAGTTATATACAACGTGGTGTTTATAACTATAATATAAATTGTGATCCATTTTCCACATGAATTTAATATACGGAGTGATGTCATACTGATCAGATTGTTAGTCCACAATGCTCAGGTTATTTAATTGGCTCTTAGAAGTCTGATTATTTATATAATATAGGTTCTGGTATTGTCAGAGAAGAAGCATGAGAAAACGAAAGACATCACACCGCCAAATAGTGTTCCCACTTACCAATTAGTTTTACTACATACGATCCTGAAAGAATATATTCTGCTATCCTAAGCAAAGTGTCACCACTTCCATTGCTTTATGTTTATGCAGATACTTCAATTCTATAGTAACGGAAGCTTTACAGTCTAAAATGCAGCAATCATCTGAAATGATTTACAGACTGAGAATTTCTAGCATAGACTGAGATTATCAGTAACCCTTAAAATTAGTATACGGCATGAATACCAGCTACTCTCGGATAATATCATTGTAAATACATACCTGTGGAGAGTTTCCATAGTCTTAAAGATGTTTTGAGTTTTCCTAGCTTAGAAACGCCTCTACATGTAACACATCCTCAGTCTAATAATGTCAACGTAATCGAATCAAAAGTGAGAGATGAAGAGGTTTGAAAATACAGCTGGAAAGCTGTCGACATATCGGGAAGCGTTTATTCCAAGCTAGATTACATTTATAAGAGATGCGTGGCACAGCATACCTATTCGTGAGCTGGTGCGGATGAGTGACTAAGTACCTTAAGCTAGTAATGCCGCCAGCGTCGAGTGTTGAAGACTGAAAAAACTCTGGGGATATTTCACACTACATTCTTTTCGTCTGGCGTGGTGATCTTCATGTCAGTTCACTCCTTAATGTTTTGCACCATCTACTGATGGTGAATGTGGCGGTACTGTCCACGAATATACTTACAATCCAAGAAAAAAATTCAGGTCTATGGACCAAGAACTGTCACTAAGCTACCAAAAAGTATATTGTAAAAATATCCGATGATTTCACAACATATTCTTTTCGTCCCGATTTGCACGAAATATTGATTATTAATTCAGAAACTAAGAAATAAAATGTCACATAATCTAAAATTCTAATATATTCTTTTAAAGTTCCCAATCCTGAGGTTTACGTTTACGCTCAAACGTGCGCTAAAACACTACAAATACTTATTTACGCCTAGCTATATATACTGCTCAACTTTCGATGTTTCTTTTTATTATGAGTTGCTTTGAACGAGCTTTGACAGTCCTTTTCTTGTGTATCGAAAATAATGTGTAGTGTAGAGTCGCGGTTGACTATGATCACCACTACAGGAAGACTACGTGCCAGTTAACCGATAAGACCCCCCGTAAACCAAATATCAGAAGGCAGTTGATGGTTGTAGTCAAGATGTATTCTTTGGCGACCTCGTGCTATCGAAAAATACCGAGATCGTGCTAGGTTACAAGTGCGGTTACTGGGCGTAAGCAAATTAGTGCAAGGTCACAATCAACTTAAGAATGTATGCATTTTGGTACAGTTAAATAAACAGGTACAGTAAAACAATCCGTGGTACATTTGGTTATAATAATAATTGCTTCCATTACACCAATCGCGTTCTCTCGATAAAAGTAGGTCACTAAAAATGTTAGACGATTTTGAATACAGTCTACGTTACGGAATCCTGGTGGTTGATAGCTCATCATCCCAGTACTCTAACTTCAACATTTTCAAACTATGGCTCTTGATCCGAACATCTTGAGACTTACGCCTAAACATACAACAGATTTTTCACAAAAATATTACTGTGTAGTCCGTTTGGAATGTGAAATGTAATTCACATCATGATTTTCAGTAGGAGGCTGTCCTCAGTAGCGCCTTGAAGTCACGATAGTATTTGAGCTATGACTATAATTTATGAGCAGATCATTGAAATTAAAGATGACATATTTTGAATTTTCGCGCAAAATCCGTTCATTTGTCTAAATAGCATTTTCGTATCACATCTGATGTCAGTTAGTAACAATAACTATTTTCCTAATCTTTTTTACCTTATTCTCTGATTCGATATTCCTATCTTAACTTTTGAGACCTATTTACATCCATCTTCTGACTCAATTATGTTGAGTCTTACAAGAGTCACTCTAGCACCGCTCAAAGGTTGTCTCTCTGGTGTTACGTGTTAAACTATCTGGTTCTTGTTTCGATCCAAAGAATACCTTTTTATGAGAAACGCGTTATTTCTGATTATCGTCGAATAGTCCGTTATTAAATGTAAGTTAATTGTGTGAGCTTGCTGGGTCTTTCGTTATTTTTCTACTCCTCAATCAAGGTTCTCTTGATGCTACCGTAAAACACAAAGTATTGTTTGAATAGACGCGAACCGCCACACTGCCGATGTTGTATGGTTTTAAATGCAACAACAGTTATTGGAATTAATGATTTTAAAACAAGTTTGCATTATAGTGCAAGAAATTGATACGTTTTTTGCGAATATTTCCAATGTGTATAAATAGTGTTCTAAACTCTTCTTTCAAGTTTTATAAGTTTTGTTAGATCGGATCACAATTAAAAAGCCATAGGTGACTTACATGATTTGAATAAATTTGGTACTGGATGTTGGCCTGGACGTTTCTAGTCGCTTCTAAATAATCCCGCTTACATAGTGTGCTGTACATATCATCAGGTGATTTATTACTTATAAATAAAACATAGATGCGAGAAAAGATTACTCATCGTGGTTGCATGCCAATATAATAAGTTAAATTATGTGAAACCATTCTCCCTATTTTGGGGCTTTCCACAAACTTTGCGGAAATTTTGAGGCTCTTCAGCACAATAGTGCTGAAGTTAAATAACTCATTCACATTGCAACTAATAATGCTATCACCCATATTTGTCTTATTCCTGTCACTATGGTTAAAGTTAAGAATCTTAATATATGGGACCGCACAAATCGTGTGGAATTGCACTATCAGCTTTGTCATGACTGCATCGATGCAGACGAATTTCAACCGCCTCACCCGTTTACACAATTTGTTTCAGATATAGACTTACATATTTCAGTTCGATCCACCCATTCAATCCTATCTAGTCAATGTAGCAATTATCTAGAATTAACCATAAAGATGTAATTATTCAGTTTCATCCCTCATGTAGGTATTTTGTTTGCACTAGTTCGGCGTGAGAAAGATAAAAACAGGTGAAAAAGGACTACTGGAATGAAGTATGCTTTTGTTATGAACAGGTTGATCGAAGTTACTCTCGGTTGTATATAGACAACTGAGGTTTTCCGTGTCTATGTCATGTGTGGATTTCTTGAAATCGACTCGACATTGTGAACACAGTGCCACATAGACTTCTGCTTGATGTTAGTCATGTAGATTGTATCTGAATATTTGTTTTGTTTTTGCACCTTCGAAGTGCAAAGTACTTCTACAAGACTGGCAGGATTCCAATCCTGTGCTCACCCTGGATGGTGAGCAGATAGACGTAGTCCAGAAGTTCGTGTACCTGGGTAGCTGCATAAGTGCTGGTGGGGGTGTGAGTGATGAGATCAATGCACGAATAGTGAAAGCCAGAGTGGCTTATGCCAATCTGGGCCATCTTTGGCGCCTTCGTGATGTTAGTCTGGCTGTAAAAGGCCGGATCTACAACGCGTCGATGAGAGCAGTTTTGTTCTATGCTTGTGAAACCTGGTCTCTCCGAGTTGAGGACGTTAGATGACTCTCTGTGTTTGGTCATCGCTGTCTCCGAAGGATTGCTGACATTACGTGGCAACACCATGTCAGTAATGCAGAGGTTCGGCATCGTGTGTTCGGGCACAGAGATGATAATTCAATTGGTGTCACCATCTTGAAACACCGACTTCGGTGGCTAGGACATGTTCTCCGAATGTCGTCCCAGAGAATTCCACGTCGTGCATTATTTGCCGACTTTGGGACTGGTTGGAAGAAGCGGAGAGGTGGTCAGTGCATGACATGGTGTCGTGCCATGAAAGAAAGCTGCAAAGGACTGGCTCCTGTCGGTTCTTCACAACTCGCTGGTTGGGGTCTGAGAGATGGTGCTTTGCAGTGGCTATAGACGTTATCAGATATGGCTCAGAATACAAGCCATTGGCGATCCTGCTGTAAATTTCTTTTACTTTCTTCATAAAAAGTGGTTATATCTTCCTTAACTGAAAGATTTCTTCTGATTGTACCTTTTCGTTCCGTCGTTACTACCACACTACCTTACTCCAATCTCTTCGTCATTGTTCTCTTTTGCGTTCCTTAGTTTTTTTCTTTCTACTTCTCTTCGAATTCCCATTGTTTTGTGTGGCGCATATATATTGGCGCTCTCTTGTACCAATATTCATGTGTTCAAATAAATAATAATAAAGATCTTTAATTTTTATTACAAAATAACCAGCCTACTTGACCTGGTAGTATCTCAAGAAACAATGTTCCTGCCTTAATACTGTCAACAGGATAGACCATCAAGTCAAAACTCTAGTTGCGGTCGTAATCTAGACGTCGATTCTAAATATTTACTGAAATGCTCTTAGTGCTCAAGAAGCAACATTGGCCTAGAAACGTTAAGCAACTATAGCTCTAAACTAGTGTTGACCACAGTTCAAGAACTCAATTTTATTACTAATTGTTATCAGGAGTTATCTGTAAGAAGTTTGTTGTTGTTGGTATTATTTTTTGTTAGTTAATGGTTTTGAAGTTGCTTAAACGCATGGATTATGTACTTCTGAAACAAGTTAATTAAACTATTTTACTGCTAAATCCGATCTGCGTCCCGTGTTCTTCAGCATAATACTGAAACCACTAGTAAGTAAAGCACATGAAGCTTTGTCATTCGTGTCAAAATATGGCAAAGCTCGATTTTAATCGTCTGGTCTTGAGTTTACAGCTTTATCGTTTATATTATAACTTCAAGCTAAATACGGAATTGGACAAAATTGTTAGGCCAACATGTAAGTCTTGTTTTCTGTTTCAGTAATGCTACACTTTTCAGTTTGTGAGCAATTCGGATTTTCCAAATATCCAGTAAAATGTATGACAAATTTTTATATCATTTTACTTCGATGGGGGTTTCTAAGCTGATTTACTTTACTTTTAGGTTATTTCTAACGATAGGAAGGCTCTTCAGAAATTTTTGTGTCTAGGTCTTCATGACATCAAGTTTCTGGTCTCGAACATCCGAAGATGCACTTCAAAATCTCTTCCATTTTTTTATGCACAGTCGTTTTATTGATGACCTAAACGTCAATGTCGATCCACTGATTCATAGAATTAATTCTGACTTGTTAGTAAAATCGAGTCTAACTTATCCGGATTATTATTATGAATGATGATGTGTTCATGTACTCCTTTGTAAGGCTTTAACATACTAATAATTTAAAACCGGCTCTGATGTATCTTAACTCAAAACATTCTTGATAAACGTTTTGGATACATTATATTTCAAGTCAGTTGATAACTATAGGGAATATCATTCACAGCAGATTTTAACTCAGACCAAGGACTCGACTGTGTAATTGATCTCTATTTTGTGGTCACTAACATTTTCAATCAAAAAGCAGTTCAGAACGAGTCTCCTAGCAAAACAATTCCATTATTCTAGTATCTTGTTCTCATACTAGTTGTTTTGGTTGCAAGAATGAATCAATTTTACTTTACGTGATTCTTGTACTCCTTTCAGGTAGATTTTCGACAATTATACTTAGAAATAAAGCACTTCTATCAACACTCGAAGCTGTACACACGTTGATCACCAATGTATGTTAGAATTTTGCAGTAACTTTTTGAATAGGCTATCCTTTATTGGTACAGACTGGACATTGTCTCTGTTACATGCTGGTTCTTATCTGAATATTGATGATATTTTGGCATCTAATGAACGCACGTCATGTCGCGTTCGTGTACTACTTCCATCTCTGGCACCACTGCTACTTTCAGATGTCAAAGATAAAATGCATGGTGAAGGCACCAATGATGGTTACAAAGCGTCAGATGACGTCCCAGCAGGGAAAAGAATTGAGCTACCAGTTTGGCTAGCTATCGCTATTGGTAGCGGTAGAAGACAAATACTGAGCATCGACTTACCTCCAATTTACCGGGTATAGTAGTAATTTTTTGTCTTTAACACTTAGGATGCCTTTACTGAAGTATTCGAAGCAGATCCTTGTGTAGTTGACCTCAAAAGAAAAGGGTCTATGTATTATATGTTATTATGCAACTTATTGATGTCGGGTCATGTTCGAGTCCCACAAATCGTTGCTACTGGCACTAAGGTTTTTCAAGTAAGTCACTTTGCATTTTTAAAATTGTACCTTAATCGAACAAGTAAATGACTGTATAAAAATTAAATTTCGCACCAAAGCTAACAGTTTGACTTCCTTTGCTTCACAGTAGTGAAAAAACGACACTCAATAAACATGTAGAGATATTAAAGGAAATAAGACATGACTCGAAAAGAGAATAAACAATGAAAAGCAAAAATGGCTTTAAACAATCACTTAGTATTCCGAAGGGAATTGGCAGTTTGTACGTAAGAATACGCACTAACAAAAAATAACTAAAATCTGATTTTTGAGTACATGGTTCGAAAACGTTTGTGTTCTCTTAGCTAGATGGCCTATTTATGAAATTATTTTGGTTCTGAAAATAATCATCAAGACCACTAAAAGTATCTACATAAGCTACATCTCTATTGCTTACAATTCAGCAAACTATTTCGCCTTTTTGTAGTTGTGCTATAAGCAACGGATTGATGTTAGCAAGCTGGTTGCAACTTCTGTTGCAAGTAAGTATCGAACCGAGCTAGCCTCTAGGCTAGCTACCACTCCACCGAAAACTATAGATGAGCATTGGTTGCAATTGCATGACGCCATGAAAATGGCGGGAACAGTCAGTTGTGGGTTTGCGAAACGTCCCGCTTTTAAGCACTGGGTTCCTTCTGGTTCCTTACAACTCATTGAAGCCCGTCGGTCTACTCCGGGTGACCGTGAGTTTGACCATAAACGAAGGATGTTACGTAAGGAAATCGGGCAAAGCTTGCGTAAGGACCGAGAAGCCTGGTGGTCGATGCGTGCTAATGAGCTGGAAGCAGCAGCTGCATCTGGTAACTACCGGAAGCTCTTCCAGCTCATCCGAGCCACTGGCAGCAAGAAGTCTGGTGTGAGTGAAACAATCTGCGAGAATGATGGGATGCCAATCACTAACATCCATCGACGTCTTGGACGATGGGCAGAATTTTTCGAAGGGCAGTTCAACTGGCCTGCTGCTCCGGCAACATCGATCAGACTGTCCTGCCCTCCATGGCCGGTGACGACTGATCCACCAAATAAGGCGGAAGTCCGCAAGGAACTCCAACTCTTGAAGCGTTACAAATCACCAGGCCCAGATGACTTACCTCCGGCTCTTTTTAAAGATGGTGGTGACTTTTTGACTAAGGAATTGACGACGTTGTTTACAAAGGTTTGGGAACTAGAGAGTGTACCAACGTCATGGAATGAGTCGATAGTTGTCCCTATCTTTAAAAAGGGTTCACGTCGTTCTTGTAACAACTATCGGGGGATAAGTTTACTTCAGATTGCATCCAAGCTATTGGCTTCCGTCATTCTTCGTAGGTTGTTCAAAACCCGAGAAAGATTTACTCGCGAGGAGCAGGCTGGGTTTCGTTCTGGTCGAGGATGTATTGATCATATATTCACCCTCCACCAAATGTTAGAACACCGTCATACTTATCAAAGGCCAACAATCGTAGTGTTTCTTGACATCAGGGCTGCCTTCGATTCGTTGGATAGGACTGTTCTCTGGGATTGTCTATTGAAGAAGGGTGTGCCTGAGAAGTTTATTAACATCCTAAAAGCCCTGTATAAAAACACCTGAGGCAGAGTGAGGGCATACAACCACCTCTCTCCATTGTTCCATTCGAGCAGTGGGGTTAGGCAGGGTTGCCCAATCTCACCATTCCTCTTCAACTTTGCCATCGATGACATTCTGGAAACAGCTCTGATGAATGTAAGTAATGGTGGTGTGGATCTGTTGCCTGGAGAAAGACTTCTCGACCTTGAGTATGCGGACGATATTGTCTTACTGTGCGATAATGCCCAAGGCATGCAATCCGCACTTAATCAGTTGGCAATCAGTGTCCGTATGTATGGTATGTGCTTTGCACCTTCGAAGTGCAAAGTACTTCTACAAGACTGGCGCTCTCTTGTACCAATATTTATGTGTTCAAATAAATAAATAAATAATAAAATCTAGATTCTCGTTATAAATATGCCTAAATGCTTTTACAGCACATAGTTTTGAATTGTGTATAGTTCTCAATCAATTTTTCAGGTTGTACCGATGATTTCCTATGAAATCTATCAAAACAGATTGGTTTCCAACAATATAGTTTTACATGAATCAGGAACTCTAGATGTCCTTATTGTAGTCGTTTCACTACCTACATTTGCTTCTCGTATGCATTTTTCACTATTCCTCTTGCTCGTAGTCTTACTCTTTATTAGCTGTTGTGCTTTGGCATAATCCGTATTACTTAGTGCCGCGTAATTATTTAATTTTGATGAAATTTAAAAGTTATGGTTTGTATCTATCTTACATGTTGGTCGCCTTTCCTACATCTACTTGTCCTCACATTTGCTTGATAGAAAAATATATAGAGCTTTACGCAGATAAAACTCTAAACCTTTTTATATAAATGATTTCGAAGCTGTCAGGGTTTTCTAGGTAATTTTAGTGATGAATGGAAAATTATTTCTGTTCAGAAGCAGTTAAAAGAAATTAGGACTGTAATTGTTGAATTTTTATTTAAATTTACCTGGACAAAGATAAAGATAGCCGATTTTTCTTAACAATAATTTAATGTTCCTCACTTTTATTACTGGGCATAAGGGTACCTTTGTGGTTAAAACACTTGACTTTCAGCCGTCCGGTTTTAGGTTAAAGTCCTGTTCTACTTCAATTTTTTGAAGTAGGATTGTGTTACTAGCCCTGACACAATGTGTTCCTAAGTAATATATGATAACCAAGTTATCACTATCACTTTTATAACAGCTACGAGTTTATGTATATTTTTTATCTCAATCATCATTAGTCACGATTAAAGATGATTATGGATGCCTCACTCAATGCTTCTCGACAGGATACTTTGTCATCTACAGCTAAGTAAGTTCTAGTATTTAAAGTATTCTTTAATGTTAAAGATAGCAGAAAATTTCAGCACATATCAAACATCCTAAAATAATTATATGGAATCCATTATACTCTACACTACATAAACGCATGATCAGCAAACATGGTTATAGCCAGAACTATTAACAATTAGTCCTTAATTCGATAAATAATCCAATAAATTTAAAGTATTTGTCGGAATACATGTGCTTTAATAAATACGAAGCATAAATTCGGTGATTAAGACTGCATAAACATTCTTTTGGATCTTTTATCAGAGATACAGAAGACTCCTAAGACTACTGTTACTTATTTTTCAACTGTTCTTGGGTGTCATCTACCTGACTTTATATAAATCACACTACATTTTGTATAGTAGTTTGGTGGTATTTTTAACTAACTTGTTTCTAGAAGGCTCCCTTTATTGTGGATTTACAGAGCAAATCATTTACATATAAGGTTAGGATTGGAAGTCAGTTCATTGTGTAGTCTGACTTCAGTATATAGATAATTTAATATTAGGTAACGAATAAACAAATTTGTAGTAAATAAAACCCATTTATCTTTAGAGATATTATTTAGTGTGTGTTTCGAAACTTTCTTCCCATGTACAAGAGGTGCATTGAATTTTGCAGAGCTACGCTACCTGTAACAAACTGTTTATCATTAACAGAGTTCACTGTACGACAGTGTTCCACATTTTTAGTTCCACTTATGATATTGTGCAACAATCACTCTGTCATTATTCGCTCCTTTAAATGAAACAGCTATCCTGCACCCATTAATTTTAAGCGGTTCTTTGACCGTCAGTTTTCCGGTTTTAACTAAGTCCAAATTGTGTAAGATCTCTACAAATTGTTGTTACTGGTTAATAAACAATTTTGTATTTTACTTTCTAAGTTTTCACTTCCTGATGCTTTATACAGATCAGCATTTTTATAAAGATTAGAAATGAGTTAATTTGGTCAAGGTTACAAGGGTTGAAAGAATGAATTTTTTTTATAAAGAAAATTGGTTTTAAGATTTTCCATGACCATATTGAAATTAAACGTTTGTTTGTTAGCGTTTTTCTGGATCATAATAAGTTATCATTGAATTAAATACCTTAATTTGCACAACTGGTTGTTACTTCACTATATATTCATTTCATTTTCAATGTAATCATTCACACACTTTCTTGTTTATCAATTAATCAATTGACAAATTTAGATTCGACTCCTTGGAAATGGCATTATTTCGGATAGGTCAAACAGACAGATTACAATTCGAACGTTGGATTTCACGCCATCATGAAAAGATTGAAGCTTTAAGAAAAGTTCGACCTGTATTTGTGAAATAGAATCAATAGATTAATTTATTATTCAAAACTCATTTCATTCAAAGAAAGATTCTTGTAGCTTTTAGTCTTACGATCTTTACATATTCTTATTACGCAATTAATTATGAAACAATTTTTTCGAAATTTATTAAATTTAACTACTATTTCGAATGATTAGTGTACAAAGAAAGCTTACTTTTTTCAAATTTCAGATGGTCGAAAATATTCATGATGAGTTATTTTTCTACCATTTATGTCTTATGATAATCTAAATAGTTTCAATCTATCCAGGAATAATTTTGTTCAAAGTCGGTCGCTTGTTTCTATTTTGGATGTAATAACAGCAGTTCAAAGAAATTTCAAACGATGTTTTTAAGTTTATCGAAGCGTTTTATTAGCTTGGATATTCCATATCTAACCAGGAAATCGCGCGTTTACGTTTAACCGCACATATCAACCGTGGACCGAATTAATTGGATTTGTGGAAAGCTCTCAGGTCTCCTTTCTCTAGATTCCGTACGAAACAGAACTGCTAGTGTTGTGAATTATATTTCTATTTATTATTTATTTAAAACACATAAACATTGGTGCAAGGAGACACCAAATAGATATGCGCCACATAAATTATTCGATTTGTGTGAGGGCTAGGATACTGCCCGGGTGTCCAAACCGAAGCAGGTGGTTTTCTTAGGGAGCCACACCCGGAGCCTTTGATCTAAAGATCTAGTCCACAAGGCAGTGGAGTAATGTTAGGAGATGCAGTCCCATGGTAGTCGGTGACCAACGATTGGTTCATACTCCATTTGTTGCTTCAGGGTACTAGAGCCCTGGTGCACCATTGGTTTAGAATCAGGGTTTTCCAACTCTTCTAGGTGAACTCTCCATGTCCACCGACCCGGTTAAAGCACCGGACATTCACTTTTCGTCCTCTCAATTTCGTAAACAACACCCCCGCCACGAGAAAGCTATAAGTAGGACTTCCCTGGCGGAGGCTATATACGCGTGGCCATGTGGGAGTATTTGGAGAGGGAGAGCTGACTCTCCCCACCCTCGGCCGTACCAGGACATTCGGGGGCAATTGTGTTTCTAGGCATACATCACCAATACATATCTTAACACTCAAGAAATCAATAGTTCTGTACAAAAGGTTTTATTAGCGTCTTCGACTATTCTGATCGAGGGTTGGATTGAGAAACATTTTTTTAGTCATGAATTATAAATGTCACCAAACATTTCTATCTAATTCAGAATTACCGTCCATTTCATTTACTGATTAACTAAATTTTGGAAATAGTAAACGGCTTTCACAAATAATTAGGATGCGCAACTATAGTAATGAAATGTATATTTCATCTTTCAAACAACTTCAAGATAGTCAGATAATTTCACTTCATTTGTACGAATAAATTAGCATGAATAACAGTTATCCTTTTTGGGCTTATGTCCTATATTTTATACGACGTTTATGTCAAAGATGCGATTATGAAAATCACTAAAGTTCTGACTGCACTGGGGATTGATAATTTCAAAAGGTAGGACCATCTGGTATTGTGTGAGTGATAATACCACTATTCGTCTGAAATGAATATACTTGATTATTTCAAATACATTTTTGTCTTGATGAAAATAGAAAGTTATAAGTTCAGAGTTTTGTATAGTATAAAGTTGGATGAACTAGAATTACGTACTGGATCTTGACTCACGTACTGCTTAGTTTCTTACTCGCTCGATCACCTGTTTGTTCAATGACTGACGGAGTTATGATCGACTGAAAGATCCACAGCTAGAGAAACCAATGTTGAATACTTAACTTCCATAAACGATGTTTTGGTTTATTTCTATTTAAACAAAATTTAGCTACTATGGCAACTTGAATCGACCTAATGTTTTACATAGAAACCAGATAGGGAATAATCATTTATTTAACAATTTCATTTTAGTCCATCAAATACTTTCCTCCTTGTATGAAATAATTTTGCAGATTTATCTAGAAGTTTAGGTTGATGACATTGTTCTACGGTTGTTACTGTCGGGATAATTTAGGTTTCTCATTCTCGTTCATACCATAGTACTTCACCATGACCAATATATCAATAGATATTAAACCGATTCTTGAGAATTATGCTTTATAGTCTTGAAAGTTAACTGGATTTTATCCATCAAGTTTACAAAGTCACCACTCAGTCAAGTAAGCCGATATGTCAGTATATTATCTTTCACCCTGGGTACTGATTTCAGCAAAATGTTACTGAACAAGAATAAATAATTGGTTAATTGAGATTGTAATAAGTATTTATAGACGTAAGTAGAGACGTCACTTTAATATGCCATGAAGACTACTCTATTTTCTGTTTAATAATATGTAGGATGATAAGTAATTTGACAATGGAAAAAACCAATCGTATAGTCTGATTTATGTTTTGTGGTAAATTAATTAACTGTTGATCTGGTGAAATAAATTTCTACTTACTAATTAGCTGGACACTAGAAGGTATGAAGTTAGTCAAATAGACTGTACCTCAATTAATTATGTCTTTTGATTTTCTCTAAATCTGTCCCGTGTATGTGATTAGTTCCTAGCGATCACAATATTTCAACGTTTAAGACTTGGTTTGTAATCAGGTGGAGGTATGTCTTGTGCAGTGAAATATTAAACCTATATGTATTTGTACTAAGACCTATTGAGAATAACAACCTAATCTCAGAATTTATTCAGTGTGACTCAATGTTATGTGAATCATATATCTATTCAGCTAGTAATTAGTGGATCAGCTCCCTAACTAACGCAACTAAGGTTGAAGACGAGCGCGTGGTACTCGGTGCTCGCTATGAATACACTTCATTTGGATATGCAGGCCAAAAGAAGGGTTAATAGTGTCTTCGTTTACATTTTGTGCAGCTTGGTTTTCATTTCTAATTGATCCCGTCTGGGAAAATGTTAAAAACCAAAAACTATTGAACAGCCATTTCGTTCTAGTTTGAGGTTTTCTCAGTAGTGCGTACCTACAACTCTACACTAGATTAAACCTTGGATAATAAAGTTTCACAGTTAGTGCGATACCTATCAGTCATTTGATAAGAGTCATATGGTTTATGTTTATAACCTCATCCAATTCGCAATACAACAGTATCCTTTTTCAGTTCCATTGATTGGTTAGTGACTTAGTTGATCATATAATGTGCAGAAGTTAACTATGAATATTAAAAACCAATAAAAAACTGATATCTTTGTGGAATTTCCAACGTTTCCTTTGCCTCATTCTTCGTTGTTGAATCCCGAGGTTTAATAATCCTCCTAATTCCAACTGCTATGTCAATTGACATTGATGTTACCGAACCAGGCTTGTAAACGTTCAACCATGGGAGAACTGAGAATAGGAAGTCAACCACCCCTTTTCGACCAGGTTTTCTCATAGTTTTCTAACTAGCACTGCCTACTTTCAACAAGTCCAACCTGTAAACTCTAACGTTAACGGTACCAGAACTTTAACCGACTACGGTGAAAACCCATGCTATGAACAATGATTAACATGGCAAACGTTCTACGGAAATCTCCGAAAACCACAAATTTAACTTGAAATTATAGTTAGAATTATGTTTTCCAGAAATTTGCTGGCTAACTGGATCAACAAAATTATGAAACAAATAATACATTAGTAGAAATAATATTCTTCTCTATTCATTGGGATATTACAAATATATTGTTTTTGCAGAATCGTTAGAAAACTAGTACACTAAAACACTAGCAACTAAAACGAAACAAAAAATTGACTGTCCACAAGATTTCGTCAAGAAATGTTTATCAAATTGACTAGCGAATAGAAAATTACCCCTTAAAAATCACCAAACGGACAATTTTGCTCCAGATGGAGAATTTCTCAGAAATGACAATCAGGTCACTAAGGCCCCGAAGAATATGTGTCACCCATAAACCAACAAACTTGTTGTACTCAATACTATATAAACCAGAAAACATAACGAAGACAAGCCGAAAAACATGTATTCATTAAACTTCGGTAAATTTCCATAAAAATTACATAGGAAAAAGTGGCCTTCCTCTCCGCCAACGTTTACATGAATACCAGTTAGCTGTCGCACGCCAGAACACAGCTTCACTTATATCAATTCATTTGAACGGCCGTGGATATGAATCTGATTGAGACAACGCCAGAATATCTGATAGAGGGGACATGAAGAAACCTAGAGGATTCTTAAAAGCTTGGGATTCCGGTAAGACATAGATTATGAAATATATCGAAACTAACTAAATCTGCCAGCCATCGAAAAAAAGATTAACAACGTCGTGGTCAGAAACGAGGTCAGTAGAGAAAACAGTGAAGACAACATAGCAAACAACAGTGGTACATATATGGACAAAAATGAATCAAATTCCAGGTCGATAAATCAAGCTGTTGATCAGTTGAAGAGAAATTCAAATAACTCATTCTTCACAGAAGTTCGCTTTGATGATGTTTCTCTGAAGGAAAGTGAGAGTTTTAGAGTTAAACAATCCAGATCAGAGGAAACAACACTTCTAAAATCCTCATTCTGAGCTGTAAGTCTTTTCCATCACAGTTTTATTTGTAGAATACGACTTAATCTTATAAATAGTGTGCACATGTGACTTCGAACAGCTTGGTCATATAAGTATTATTCCTGTAAACTTTGCACTCAACAAGACTTTATTCAGCCCCTTTGTTCGAGGCAGATGTTATTTTGACGGTTATGATACTTAAACAGTACTTGCTTTATATTTACCATATTGTTTTTGTTCTTCCTATAGTACATCATCAATAATTTTTCATTGCAATTATACAAACTAACCTAACGACTTGGAATCAGTAGACTAATCTTATAAATAAACTTATTGAAACAACCGCTCTTCAATAATAACATATTCATTACAGCCGACCTTTCGAAATTGCAGTATTTGTTCTGAGTTATTGTAACCGAATCGTCTTTATTTAGTCCTCAGTCTTACTGGCTTTGACCACAGCAACTACTCGATCCTACTACTTATACTGTGAAACGGGAACCAATAAAATTCCAACAACCCAAAATGAGAACACGAAAGACTAATGCAATGGAGACTTATTGACTACTCAGAAACACGTGCCTAAACAATTATCAAAATCACATCATACTTAGACCGAAATACAATCATTTATTCACCAAATTTTGCACACACATTATACTAATACAAGTGGAAATACATAGGGTTTCTATGAAAACAAAGCTTGATAAATATGCTTCATCCGAATTGATACAGGGAATAGAATTGTCACATTGAACAAAGTTCACACTTCTCACATTGACTGAAATAAAAAAATGAATTAATGCAAAAAAATATTGACCTACATA